ACGAAGACAACTCGTAAAAAACACGTGCCTTGAACCCGTGTCGAGTGGGTTAGCAATCGTGTGCCCAACCACTCGACCATATCGTCTCCCCCATACTGGCCACCAGTTGTTCCGGTTGTTTGTACACAAACAACACGTGAACACTTACTTACTTACTTACTCAGTTAGCAAAAAGAGGGAGAGTACTGAACCTTGTTTTCATCAAATTACAATGACTGGGTTAGGTCCCCTTTTCTCACGTTTTTTGTACAATTATATAGTGGTCTAAAATGATCAATAAAATGTTTCCATGGATCAATTTAGTAATAATAACAATTGAATATTCAATTGTCATCGGTAACAAAGCTTCCCTGAAAATTTCAGCGCGCTAGCTAACTGGGAAGTGCCCGAAATTTCGATCGCAAGATTTATTGGAAAAACAAACAAACAAACAGAGGCGAAAGCAAGTTAAAGAAAACGTGGGAAAAAGAGTAGGCTATGTTCAAATCTTTTAGAAATGCTAATGATTCTATTTTGACAATTTAAAAATTTAATATTTCAACACTCTCTTTATTTAAAAAAGATTACGTATTTTATTTTATTATTTTTAAAGCTATTTAAATTAAATAACAGTTACAAGCTCTTTACATATTTTAAAAACAATATTATTGTGTCGCTTGAATGATAACCACAATAGACGAAAAAATGTTTGGGGTCATCCATAAATCGCGGCACGCTTTTTAAAACAACGTTTACCTACCTATAACATGCTGTTACAGGTCGTCACAAAGAAAAAGATTTAGTAGGAGACCACAAACAGATATAAGGGCTTGTAATGCATTGTACCATACAACCCTAACTTTAATATATATATATATATATATATATATATATATATATATATATATATATATATATATATATATATATATATATATATATATATATATATATATATATATTTATTTATACAGGGTCGTCCATAAATAACGCGTCACACTCGTAGGGGGAGGGGGGCCCTTAATTTTGTGATAGTGTGTGATGAGGGGGAGGGGGGGAGGGGGTTAGATGGTGTGGCGTCACTTTTTTGCATTATAAAAAAGCAATGTTAGAAAACGAGTTTTAGCCGTTATTTAGCCTTTTAGAAAACGGTTTTAATAAATTGTAATAGGAATTGATCAAAATACTCTATGTTGGCAGAGTTCTGACAAGATTTTGGCAACATTTCGATGTTTTAAGAAAATTTCAACAGAATTTTGAAGGGGGGGGGGGGGGGAGGCTGCAGGCTGAGGTGTGACATCATTTTAGGGGGCGGGAGGGGTGGTCTGACTTTTTGTGATGACGTGTGACGAGGGGGGGGGGGCGGGGGGGGGGAGAGGGGGAGGTAAAAATCGTCCAAAAAAGCGTGACGTCATTAATGGATATATATATATTCTATATAATAGTTTCGCTGTCTGTGTATCTATCTGTGTATCTATCTGTCTATCTATCTGACAAGAACGCTCTAGAAAAAACACAAGCAATTTAAAAACATGCACAGTAAGACGGAAACGAAATATGACGTCACATTTAGCATAATATAGTAGACAATAGTATCAAGCCGGAGAGTGCACACAGTAATATGACGTAATTGATTCTCGAGTAAACATTGAATTATAAAGCCAATTTTGTCTAATCTTAAAAGTGGATTGCGTGAAGAGTTTCTTTCATGCAATTCTTCGGGTAGGGGCGAAGCCCATCCCCGGCGTAAGAATGTCTAAGCCGAGCCCCCCTCCCCAACTCAAAAAAATGTCGTCATCCATACTCTATAATAAAATTAAAGCCTAATTCATGTGTCTAATCTAAACAGTGGTTTGCTTGCAGAGTTTCTTTCATGCGATTCTTCGGGTAGTGGCTAAGCGCGACACCAGTGTTTCTTTCAGAGTTTTTCCTACCCGGAGTGAGGAACTTTTTCTAATTTAAAAAATGTTTAGCGTGCACAGTTTTTTTTTCAAGCTTCTCTTCCGGTAGGGGCGAAGCCTCGCCCAGGTTCTTCCTTTAGTTTGTATGATATACAAATGCGACCAGTGTTTCTTTCAGACATTTTCCTTACCGGCGAGGGTTTGGGGTACTTTAATTTTTTGGGGGGCGGAGGTAGAATTTTGTGGGAGGGGGCGGACACTGGAAAAAGTATATAATTATATTTGAATGGGACGGTAGACATGTTTTTGGGTGTGTGTGTGGGGGGGGGGGGGCGGAGCCCCCTCCTCCCAAGTAGAGTTGCCTGAAAGAAACTCTAAATGCGACTTTTGTCATGAATGAGATTAGGTGCATGGTTTAGGGATATGCCTATGACTATATTTTGTATAAATTAAAGTACCAATTCTGGATAAAAATCCGTTTTCAATGTCATTTTTTGTTTCCAGTTAAATTGAAGTAAGATGGTGATTTTGGTTTTGGTTTTAGTTTAGAGAAAGTAGACAGCACTATCAACCTAGCACCCGTTGTATCCTTCCTCAACGGGCCATTTTTCTCGTTTAGTAATAATAATCAATTTAAGTAAATTTCACTGCAAGTAAATTTCGACTTCATAACGTGACCGTTGGTACCGATACAGCCGTCTGGATGTACCCAATACATAACGACCGACAGCAGTAGAATAAATGTACATATGCCCAAATGTTAAGCGCTAAAACGGTACGTCGCGAAAACGCTACTGTCCGGGTTAAGTCATAAACCTGATTAATTACTCTTAGAAATGTATCTTGACTTAACGATGTACGCCTGAAATACTTAATTTATCTAATACTTAAGTATTATCGGTGTTCTCTCAATTTAGTTAGAAAAATCTTCTGAAAGCTTTTGAATGTTATTTAGAATGTTGTTTCTTTATCAAATTGTTTGGCGAAACGTCATAAAAATATATAAATGAAATGTAATAAAAATTTTTGCGAAGAAGTAATAAATGGACAAAGGCTGATTTTCAGGATTTTAATAATGAATGTTCTCGTTGTTCTTTGCTAATCGCAGGTACTTCATTACGTCAATTTTTAATCCTCATTTATGTCGTATTATCATTACTTAAACAAATGTGAAACAAATAGACCACACAAATCAGACAACCGTGACATTTTACAGGTTATAAATAGAATTTCGTAGTACCTGACCGGACGGCCATTTTGAAAACATTTTTCCGAAGGTAGAGTTTAAGATTGTTGTTGATGTTTTACTTTATGATTCTTAATAATATAGGCTATTCTATTTTAAAACGCAACTGAAAAACCAAATAAAAAAATTAAGAATAGTTAATGAATAGTGATTGATTTAGATTATATTTAGTTATGTAAAGAGGATTATTATTTAGAAGTGTAAAAAATAACTTCTTATATAAATTTAACACATTTAACCTATTAGCCTATATAACCTCTATAGTTTTTGCAACAATTTAGAATATGTCCTCAAAATGTTCTTGTCCTTTAATTGATTTAGCTTTATTCTTCTACTTCTAATTGTAAAATTAAATAGAGACGCTAAATAAAAGGCAAGTGTTTATAGAACAATGTTGGACATTTTTCATATAATTATCGTACATACGTGTAATGTATAAATACAATTGTAGATGTAGTAAATACAATTTTCCCAACACACTAGAAACAATGACATACAAGTTATGAAGCAAGAGGAAACAAAACCAAATTTACAGTCAAGTTATTGATTCATAGCCCAAGTAGGCCTACAGGGTTGTCGTGCTCTGAAGTCTAAATAATTCAGTTCCCGTCCCATACAGTGTAGAATGTGGGCGGCTGAGGTAGAATAGCACAACACGTCACCACCCGTCCCCTCCCCGTTATCAGTCCTTGGAGGGGAAGTGTGTGTCTTGTAGTGTTATTGTACTTAATTCAGCAGGGGAAGTGTGTGTCTTGTTGTGTTATTGTAATTCATTCAGCAGGGGAAGTGTGTGTCTTGTAGTGTTATTGTACTTCATTCAGCAGGGGAAGTGTGTGTCTTGTAGTGTTATTGTACTTCATTCAGCAGGGGAAGTGTGTGTCTTGTAGTGTTATTGTACTTCATTCAGCAGGGGAAGTGTGTTTCTTGTAGTGTTATTGTACTTCATTCAGCAGGGGAAGTGTGTGTCTTGTAGTGTTATTGTACTTCATTCAGCAGGGGAAGTGTGTGTCTTGTAGTGTTATTGTACTTCATTCAGCAGGGGAAGTGGGTGTCTTGTTGTGTTATTGTACTTCATTCAGCAGGGGAAGTGTGTTTCTTGTAGTGTTATTGTACTTCATTTAGCAGGGGAAGTGTGTGTCTTGTAGTGTTATTGTACTTCATTCAGCAGGGGAAGTGTGTGTCTTGTAGTGTTATTGTACTTCATTCAGCAGGGGAAGTGTGTGTCTTGTAGTGTTATTGTACTTCATTCAGCAGGGGAAGTGTGTGTCTTGTAGTGTTATTGTACTTCATTCAGCAGGGGAAGTGTGTTTCTTGTAGTGTTATTGTACTTCATTCAGCAGGGGAAGTGTGTGTCTTGTAGTGTTATTGTACTTCATTCAGCAGGGGAAGTGTGTGTCTTGTAGTGTTATTGTACTTCATTCAGCAGGGGAAGTGTGTGTCTTGTAGTGTTATTGTACTTCATTCAGCAGGGGAAGTGTGTGTCTTGTAGTGTTATTGTACTTCATTCAGCAGGGGAAGTGGGTGTCTTGTTGTGTTATTGTACTTCATTCAGCAGGGGAAGTGTGTGTCTTGTAGTGTTATTGTACTTCATTCAGCAGGGGAAGTGGGTGTCTTGTTGTGTTATTATACTTCATTCAGCAGGGGAAGTGTGTGTCTTGTTGTGTTATTGTACTTCATTCAGCAGGGGAAGTGGGTGTCTTGTTGTGTTATTGTACTTCATTCAGCAAGGGAAGTGGGTGTCTTGTTGTGTTATTATACTTCATTCAGCAGGGGAAGTGTGTGTCTTGTTGTGTTATTGTACTTCATTCAGCAGGGGAAGTGTGTGTCTTGTTGTGTTATTGTACTTCATTCAGCAGGGGAAGTGTGTGTCTTGTAGTGTAATTGTACTTCATTCAGCCGGGGAAGTGTGTGTCTTGTTGTGTTATTGTACTTCATTCAGCAGCTTATATGCGACCAGTGAAGGGGGTAGGACTTGACAAAATTGTGTGGTCAACACTCAATTTGCAGTAAACTGACTGATAGAGAAAGCGATGCCGTTAAAATATACGGCCAGTTTTAACCGTACCTCTGATCTTAATGGTAAAGTTTCAGTGTGAGACGTTACTTGGTTGGGAATATTTGTACTTTAACCACGTGACGACCTCACATGTAGGCTCCTATCATACTGCTGAGGGATGTAGTATTCTCACCGTTTAAATGGGCACGCACTATAGACCCACATTCTTTACAAAGAAGTTAAAGGAGGGGTGGGGTGGGGAGAGACTTGCCTGAGTGGGAGCTGTACACATCCCCCCTCTATCCACCCGTAAAGAGATGCTTGAAAGAAACAATGTTCTTTCTTAATAATAACTAACGTACCCTGATGTTTTCTAGCGGTTAGCATTGATGATCCATGTGCCAGAAGGGATGATACAACCTACAGCTATAATACATAAAGAATTATTAAAATATTTAGCCTTTATAAATTGGTTGAAACAAAACATGCTAGCTACGAGGTACACATTAAATAACTTATGTACCTATAGACGACTACAATTATATATAACATTAATGGACACCAGCGAGAAAAGTCTCAAAGGTATTTGAGAGGTGTATAAATTCATTAAAAAATCATGCACAGCGTATTTACAATTAATATGGTTATAAAATCCTGCCTGTCTGGTTTTTTTCGGACTTTACTAAAGATTGGATGTATTTGATGTTTATAATATTTTCGGTAACTAAATAAAAATTAAAAAAAAAGCAAAAACAATTTGGTTTTCACGTGTAATGGCGACATAAACATGGCATCCTGCTATTGGATAGGCTGCCATAGATTTTATTGTACACATTGTAAGCTAAAAATAGAAAACTAGGTCATGGGGTTTTAAATTTGCATTGTAATTTAAAAACTTGATCTGCAAAGTTTTGTAAACAAATAGTTATCGATTACTAAGTTACTGTACAGCCAATCAATATTTGTCTTACGAAAGTGAAACATCCGGTTATAACTTAGGCTTGATGAAAATAAATAGAAATGTAGCCTTAAACTCAACAAATTATTTTCAAGTTCTCTGGATTTGCAACTTTTATAGCATTTATTCTAAGAATATAAAATTTCTAAATTAATTTTAGGCTTAAGTTTTTATTTTTTATTTTTTTTTTACGGTCTAAATCTAAAAAGCACGTTTTTATTCCATGACAACAACATTATGGAAGGAATCTCGTCAACTCGCTCGCCTCCATTCAATATTTATTAATAGCAGACGAAACATTGAATTCAACACACAATCGTCAGTAGATTTAAATGTGGCAATTAAAACTTGTGAAATCGACGCCCCAAAAGTAATCGAGTACTGTCATCAATAACGCTAGGTTTAGATTAATAAATAAAAGTAATGTATGTTTTGTAGATAGTTTTTATATCTGGCATTTATTTATCAAATTATCCTAATTTGCAATCAAACTTTGAGTAGTTATAACTTGATAAATATGTTCGTGTCTTTTTATAGATACTATAATATTTATAAAAAGGAGCAATCATATGTAGCAGACGTTCTCACTTCCTTGGTCGCCCGATTTGTTTTAATGGAGCTGCTTTCAACTCTCGGGTTAGTCCGACTTAAACATAAAATTCATAGCAGATCTTACAGTCTTATCTGAGTAATAGATTCTACTGATCAGTTTGGTAAACATTTAAATAATTGTATTAATTTATCGGGCCCAAAAAAACATTTTAGATTTTAAATATCTAGAATCTAGATCTAGCTAGAATTAAAGAAGAATCTCTAGATATAGATCTAGAATCTAGATTTTCTAGATCTAGAATCTAGATCTAGAATCTAGATCTAGATCTAGATCTAGATCTAGATCTAGAGAGATCTAGATAGTGTCTAGAATAGATCTAGATCTAGATTAGATTCCTCTAGATCTAGATCCAGAATCTAAATCTAGATTTTCTATATCTCCTTTATTAATATCTAGATCTAGTATTATTTCGTCTAGAATTCTACTATCTAGATATAGATCTAGAGTCTGTATCTAGATTATCTAGTCTAGATCTAGATTCTACTTTTCAGTTTTCTAGATCTAGACTCACATCTACACATAGAGATAGCTCATCTAGATACTAGATCTAGAATCTAGATCTAGCTAGTCTAGATCTAGATTCTAGATTTCTAGACTAGATCTAGATAGATCTAGATCTAGATTTATAGCTTGCAGGTTAATGCATATATAAGTATAAACATCATTAGGAATTTATAGAGGAGTGTTTTCAATTTTTATGTAATTTTTTTGTTTCAACAATTAACTATGCTATAGAGCTATTCATAAGTAGATCTACAAAAAAAATATGAATAATGAAGGACTAAATGATTCTCTTTCAAAAGTTAATCTTCATACATTTTATTTAGGCCTGAAAATAAATATGAAACCATACGAACCATTTTTATGTGATGACTGTTATTGCATGCGAATACTCTATTCTATTTTTATGTTACTAATAACTGATTTTTATTAAATTCATTAAAGATCCAGGCTAATTAGGTAACTTATTTGCTGTAATTACTACCGAACAAGATTCTTCGGATAAATATTTTTATTTGAAATGTGTTTTAACTTCATCTGAACTTTTGGGCATGGGGATATTCTAAACCAATTGGATTAGGCAATGTATCCACAGAAGCTGTTAAGTATTTACATTGTGTATAATACTTGTTTAAATAAGTTACAGTTTCTGCAAGCTTAGTGTAGATGTTTTAGTTGCTATTTCCAATGTTTAAATAAAATACTTTATATATTTATTAAACACAGAAGAGAAAAATTGACAATTAACAAGCTTATAAGGATATTAGGACTATATGGTTTACAAAACAGTGCAATTAAACTGAATATTGATTAGCTGAAATAATTGAAATATCTTTTCTAGGTTAACACTTCTGACTATTGAGAAGATAAATTATCTTCTGAAAATTTGACAATGATCTAACTTTATTCATCAAAATATTCAGATTTTTTGTTTCCAAGGTTTAGCGGACACTTGTGAGTGACAGCTAGTGAATATCCCAACATTTGTATCAAAATTAATCAGGTAATTTATTATGTAAGATGCAATTTTAAGGTCTTATTTTCAAATATAACTCATTTTTCAGTAAATTAAATATTTAAAAATCACATTTAATTAAAATTATTAACATGTTTACCAGAAGCTAATATCAAATAAATACTAAGCTGATTACCATAGCCAAAAAATTATCATGTTTTTTTATTTGCGGTATACATTTTATGTGTTTTTTTCAGTACTTAGGGAAACACATCTATTTTAAGTCACTATATGTTTCTAATACTAGAGAAATGTTTATATGCAGATGTAAAGTTAATTCTACAAATTATTATTTGTTTACATTTTTTATTAGTGCACTTATAAAACCTAGTTACTATGTTATATTAATGATCTATAATCATATCTACAGTAAAACAGACCATGAAAACCCCAAACAAAGTGAGAGAAAGAAAATTGGAGCCATCAAGTACACCTGAAGGTAGAGCCAGATAAATGATAAATCATTCTTTTAAACAAATCTTTAAGTAATGTTATTTTGTTAAATTAAAAACTATTATGGCACTTTTAAAAATTCAGATGATTTAAAAATCCGTTCCTTAATAACCTACATGTGTTATCTATAAGTGTAAAAGTAAATGCTAAATATCCTATTATTATATATCTGACAATGAACTTTGAGAGGGTATCAATCAAGCTATAAGAGTTTATCTCAGTAATGCCACATTTCCTGTCACTGTAATTATAAAGTAATGTATGTGTTATTTTCTTATTGTTTTATTTCAGATGTGCCATACTGTGAGAGCCCAAGTAAAGTTAACAAAAGTGACCAAACAGGTGTCTTTATTGCAGGTAAGACATGCCAAACATAAGACAACTCTAGTCTAAACAATTATAAATCTGTGCTAGTGATAACATTTAGATGTCTTTACTATTAGTAATTGTATAGTTCATTAGATGAAGGAGATAGTAAAAAGTAATAGTTTAATTTACATCTATATCAAATTGCTAAATCAAGTGTTAGTGTAAACATAGTATAGCTAATCAAAATAATAATAGGTGCATTTTATATCAGTGTTTACATTTTTAGGCTGTTTAAATAATTTGTTTCCTCTATTCCTGCAGGAAATCACGAAGCTGAGATGTGCTATGGAGGAGAAGCTGATCTACACAAACATGTTACTGACTGTAAGAAGAATCCAGGTCACAAAGGTTTTATACCTCTTAAAGATTTTAACGCAAGTTGTCTCCCCTCACGATACCATGACGACGACCTCATGTCTGAGACAATCAAAACATTGGGAGCCCTAACTGTCCAGGTAAAGACTAAATTCACAAGTCGAGAGAGACCAGAGTTTTACCCAGGCACTCAAGTTCCATATCCATTTTATAATGACAGAGGAAGTCACGTGATGAGGTTAGGGACTGGCAGAGCGAAATGGGTTTTTAAATACATAGAGAGAGATGGAACTTGTCGTTGTGCCAAGTGTCAAGTCTCTGCCAAACCCAGTAAAATCTGGGGAGAGCTTCGTGTAGTAACAGCTACACATGTGGTGTTTGATGACAGTGAGGCGAGACAGACCAGGTGTGTTTTAGGTTTTGATGACAATAAAAGTCCAGTGGTCAGTCTTGATGGCTGGGAGGTGTGGAGGGCAGACATAGAAGGAGACAGGTGTAAGTTGAGTTATGTGACATGTGACTTAGAGCTGGTTGATGAATTGGACAAGATGTGTCGTTACTTTTATGATATATGTAGGGTGGTAAATAACAAATACGGAAAACATGATAATGTGGACAAGTTGGCTGTTATAGTGTCACATCCTCATGGATGTCCTAAACAGGTCTCTGTAGGACAATGGACACACAAACATATGAAGGATGGCTATAGGACCAGGTACTGGTACACAACATGTACATGTCCAGGTTCCAGTGGGGCGACTGTCTACACTTTGGAATATGACTGTTCATGGGACTATCAACATCCCCACAGTGGATCAAACTTTGAAGGAAATTATAGTGGGGAGTATTGAAACTAGAGTTATGTTATATTTTGTTTGCAATAGTTACGACCCTTTTATTATTAGTTCTCATAGTTATGCTTATTTGAATATTCAGTCTCCGTGTTCTGTGTCAGAGTTTACTATGTTATCGTAAAAACAACTAGGAATGTAGCTAGAGATAGCAAGAGTGGTCGGAATTCTCTTGTATAAATAATAAAGTACTGAAGTCAACTTAAAAAGTCTCCTGTTTATAAGAAATCGGCAACAGTTTAGTATACAATACAGGCTGTTGATATCGAGAGTACTTGCTATATTAGAACAATGGGAACTACCCGAATAGCTGAACGAAGGGTACACAACAGGCTACAAGTCGACCCGACAACAGAGTGGTTGAAAGTTGGAGGCTCATGAAACATAATTATGTGGCGTAACTACTGTATTATAGCATGCATCAATGAAGAAGATGATATGCATTTTATTTGAGAGTTAGTAGTTATTGCGCTCGGCGCTTAGGTGTTGGAGACATATAATGACATAAATATGACAGAACAATCTAAAATAAGTAAAATCATCAATGAATTTTGCAAGATTACATTTAATTGATTAAAACAAATCTTTTGATTCATTTGAACCGTTTAACAGTTAAAATCTACTAAAATGTATTTTTCGCACTTTTTAAATGTTATAATGTTGTAAATATTTTGTCTGTAACAAATGTCGGCAAAATTCTTGTTCTAGCCTTACCATAAATTTTAATTTTACAAATTACATTTCTTGCTCTCTTTATTTGTTTACAAAATTATTACATACTAGAAAACAAGTGCCCAAGATAAAATTTATTTGTTTTGTTGTTAATTTCATTTTTATGGACTAATTAAATTTAGCAAATTGTTATCAAACAACTTTTTGATACTGATATTGGTATTACCGTCATGCTGTCAGTGTTTTTAAAACATTCCCAATTCAATGTAACGACAAGGCCGACATGTAGCCTATATAATGATAAATACATGTCTAGTAATGATCTATTTCAATGAAGTTGAAGTTCAAATAAACTTAACTGATACCAGACACAACAGTTAAGATCTACATCTTGTGTTGTCCTACTCCAATAGAAATGTTAAGTGAGATCGGAGTTTGTCCCTCTGATAGACTGACACTTGTGTAAACATTTTCTTTATTCTTATTTCTTCTAAATACTTTCACCAACTGGTGATAGAACACTCGCATGTTGAAATGTAAATCTCTCGTTCCTGAGTCCATCCAGCTCTAATGGGTAGCTGAATTTAAATCGGGTAATTAAAACGTGGCATAATTTAAACATGTCATGTTCAAAGAAATAGATAAACTCTATTTCATCTGCCAGATTGACAATCAAATTTTAAAGAAAATTTAACTTACTTGGATTTTATGGCAAATCTTGGTAAATATTTGTAACATTAGAAACAACGGTTCATTATGCATCAAAATAGCTCAAAAATATATTCAAAAAATGTAAAGATTATATGGGCATTTTTTAGTTATAGAATATATTTTAGGGCTATTTTGATGCATGTAATATTGTTCAAAGTTATTGCATGCTATCCAGAAAAGATTCCAGACATATGGTCTGAAAGCAAGGTTAATTCTTTATTTCATAAGTTGAAAACTAAAAAAATTATCCCAAAAAAAAACCGTTGACAGTCAAAGGGAAGAAACAATGAAAATATTTTAATAGAAAAGAATTTCATGATTATCTTTCTTTTTTCCTCTTTCTGTCAATAGTTAATGTAGTAAATTTCTCTATATTCAGCAAAGGAAGATGTTATCCTCTATCGTATTATATGGACATTCTTATATTGTATAAATTGTGTTCAATTATATGACATCTAAATGTATTTTATGTTTTGTTTTATCTTTGGTCATTTAGTTTTTGTGCCTTTAGTTGACGCTGGAAACTGCCCGAACAAAGAATCAAAGGGAAATAACAATGAAAACATTTCAAATTCAAAGGAATGTCATGGTTGTCTTTCTTTTTAATTAATTTCAGAGCCATAATTGTTTTGTCAACGTCAAAGCAAACATCAATAAAAGCAATACCAAAAGAGATGCTACCGTATCAGCACCAATGAACGCGCCAAATCGTGTCTTTTAAACCTACAGAAAGATTCTCCAAGCGGCTATTAATACAACAGGCTGGGTAGCCTATAAGGAGACAAGTTATTGTACGCGGTATCAAGTGCCCATACCGTTTGGTTTCTTTGAGACAAAACAATTTATTTTAAAGTTTACAACTGAATTTTTAAACAGAACTTTAACACGTTTTCTCTGCCGCTTTCAATTTAAGCTTGAGGTCCAGGCCAGCCTAAGAGAATTTACAGGCCTGCTAGGGGATTCAAGACAATATCTATCAAAATACAGACAATAGACACAGCTATATCAGAAAGAGAAAAAGACGTCAGACACGATTTGACGACTACATAAAACAAAATAGGACCGGCTCTTTGTATTTGTGTAAGTGAGTGTAACACCTATGTAGAGGTAAAGGGATTCTCCAGCTGTGAGTTGTATGGCACTGAATATGTTTAGTAAAATTGTCTACCTGGTTCGTCAGGTAAATTGTTAGGATTGCTTCGATTTCCTGTGGCATGGTACTGTTTCTTATTTGATGTCACGTACGCATCATTAAATACATTTCTCCACTGTGATACAACGCATTAAAATGCTCGCCATACAATACACTACACCCAACAGAAATTTTACACACTATAAAATAACATATGTTTCTCTACAATATTTGCTACAGGATACCATGAAAATTTACGTGGAAATTTTAATCAAATTTGTAAAACAAAAAAAAAGCCTAGTAAAAATAATACATTATTATTTTGTTATACCAATGCTTTGATTATTATATCAAAATGAAGAATGTTTTATTGTATGTATGTTTGTGTGTATGTATCGAGCTGCCTTTACATCTTAATCTCATCACTAGAGCTACGACAACATTTATATTTAGCAACGATAAGGTCTTACAGGGGTAACGCACTTATCATCGTTTATTCCTAATCACCTAAGCTAGGTGTAGAGATCTTTTTGTATCATCGCTCGAGATGTGTGGATCTGTTAGCACAGCTTGGATGTGTAGATCTTTGTTTAGCAAAGCTTGAGGTTTGGTGTGTGTTGAAACGATTGGCTCGTTAAAAATTGTTTTAGTCGAAATTTAAATAGAATTATTTATAAATAGAATTAGAATGAAATTAGAACTTAGACTGGTTAAGCCTAGACATCTTTGCTCGTGTCCTCTATTTTGTCGCTGATGTCACTTGAGGATGAATTTTGAAACAATTTAATTTCAGCTGCTTTTTCAGCATAATATTCCCCATCATCAACACAGATGGTGTTATGAGTGTTTTCCCAATGGTTTATGGCTCACCCTACTTTACGGGGTCTATGACAAATTCCCGAAAGACACTTGCCAGAATGCCGTTTGACGGAAGGCCTATTTCCCGAATGGACACTTGCCCGAATGCGACAAATGCCCGAATGGACACTTGCCCGAATGCGACAAATGCTTTAATGGACACTTGCCCGAATGCGACAAATGCCCAAATGGACACTTGCCCGAAACGACGAATGCCCGAAAGGACACTTGCCCGAATGGGACAAATGCCCGAATGGACACTTGCCCGAATGCGACAAATGCCCGAATGCCACTTTATTGTATACGTCAGTTGTTTATATACGTATCACTTTAGTAAAATGCAAGGCATTAAAGATGTACACTACTAAGTAGAGATTATTTTTTTTAAAAATTACTATGTGAGTAGTGATCAAAACGTTAAACTGTTATCTGGTAAATTTGTTTTTCATTATTTACTATCATTCCTGCTTACACTTAAAAAAATATTGTGCAAACCACTCAGCGGGATGTGCTTTACGGTTCATTTATTTAAGGTGTAAGTCAGCAGTTATTAAACTCGTTAAAGTCAGCATGTTAGGGTTACATGACTTTAAATTTAAGTCTAAGGACAAAATGTAATATGCATAGTTTTCCAATTAAATTATTTTTAGTAGAGCTATTTTGACATCTTTAGGTTATTGTTAAACCATTTTTGTATAGTGATCCATATTTTGTTATAGCTAAATGATGCACAGCTATGGATTCAATCTAGCTCCATATTTCTTTGTATTTATGGTTATTTGTTGTATTCAACCACTAATAAGTAACCCCCTCTGTGTTTTTTTCAATTTGTTTCTTTACATATCAAATTTAACTCCATCGCATATTTGCCATAAAGTAAATTACTGTTAACCTTTCACTTGCATGTAAATTTTGTTACTGTAATTATGTTGTAATTTGTTTTAAGGAAAATAAAAGTATTTAAAAAAATATAAATTAGATGTATATATATATATATATATATATATATATATATATATATATATATATATATATATATATATATATATATATATATATATATATATATATGCATAGGGCGCCCTTTAACTTGCCGCTCTCTTAACCGCTCTCCTTGTCCGAAAACCTGTATACGCCTCTGATGTTCCTATTTTAGTGCTATTTAAAAGGTTACTACTTTTGCTTACTTTTCTTCACTGCTTTTAACTTTCTTTTTTCGCAACTTTTTTTTTCCCTATTTTCCACGCAAACCGTTTTGTTTTTTCAATACATATATTATATTTTGTAGGTAATAAATTATGGAGATGTAAAACGGCGAAAAATGAAAAAAACTACTTAATGTGTGTGCACGATTACACTACTTTCTTTATACTTTGTATACGAGAAAGTAAAAACCAAGCAGTCGATCAATAAATAGTAGCAACAAGTCATGTTAAATATCATGTCAGCTGAATATGATCTGTTAGAGACTTTAATTTACACATTTTTACCTTACATGTTTTCTCGTGTTTACTTTTTAGTGAGGCAGCAATCACTTCAACCGAACCATTTTTTTCAAGATCGAAACGTAGGTTAAGATTTGATCACTATTAAACGGTTACGACAGCGTAACAGACAGTATGGCAGAATGAACGACGCAATGCTACTGTCGTACAATACGTAGGGAGAACATTCTTCATACCTTCATTTCCCGGTAGAAAAGCGAGGGCCAGAGTTAAAAAAAAAATCAACAAAAAAAATCAACAAAAGAAACAGTTTAACATAAAACGTTCGTTTTTATTTTTACTTTTTCAAGGAGTAGTAAAGAAGCCAGTAAATTATTCAAACATAATATCGATCACGTCGCCATATCTTTGCAGCAAACATGTTCAACATATAGTACTGACATCGTGTTTGCAATCTGGCGTTAGCAACGACACTGAGTGTCATAACTGGCTGTAGTTATGGCAGGGGAGGTAATTTTTTAAAAAAAATCCAATTCACGCGGATAAAAAAATGTAAATGCAAATTATGCGGAAGTGTAAGAGGAATTTATTGTTGAAATATTATAATTAGCATGGATTAATAAACAGCAATTATTTATTTATTTTATTCACTTAACGTACTGTTTACTAATTATAGTTTTTGATCAACTACTCCCTACTATTATACACGCGTCATCACGTTCATTAGGTGCAAAATTATTTTAACCAAGCACCTCTATTGTAAGTTTTTAAAATTCAAAGTACTGAAAACAAAAAGTAATAAAAAGCGTTATGTGAATGCAATAGTTGAGAAAGTGCAATGTGATAGGTAAAACACGGATATTTTAAATACTGCCTGTTATTTATTTTATATTCCGAATGTACTGTTTACTAATTTATATTTATTTCTTTCGGTTTGCGGACAAGCTGGGGGTGTTTAGTCGTTCATTAAATTGAATCAGGCGCGTTCGCTGGCACTCGGACAGGGTGCGATTTGGCGCCATGGGCTAGACTGTGAGCACTATGCGTTTATGTTGCATTAAGTTGGGTTTATGCTATGAGTGTTGTGTTTGTGTTTTTGTTTGTGGTTTTTTTTGCGTTTGCATTTGTGTTTGCATTGTGTTTTTGTTTTTAATTGTGTTTTTTAAATTTGCGTTTGTTTTTTCTTTTGTGTTCGTGTTTGTGTATTCCGTTTTTGTTTTCGTTTGTGTTTGCATGGTACTTGTTTGCATTGTGTTTGTGTTTTCTTTTGTGTTTGTGTTTTTTTGTGTTTGTGTTTTCTTTTGTTCTGTTCCCAAGTTGGAAAATATAAAAAAGATCTCTGCAGGGTATGCAGCTAGTATATAATTATATATATATATATATATATATATATATATATATATATATATATATATATATATATATATATATATATGTATATAGATATATAGATGTATAGATATATAGCTAGATAGATTTATATATATGGAGGTTCGTTATATAATTATGATGTTTTATAAGTTTGGTGTACAGGCTCGTGATGTTTGTGAAATTGGAAATCGTCGGAAGATAATTATTGCTTGACGCAAAACAAGTGTTACAAAATAATATGTACATTGGCATATAGATGAATAACTTTACCAATCCAGTTGACATCGATATCATTTATCTTTTTTACAATCTCTATTGTGTAATATGTTTTATTGAGGTCAATGTGTTTACAATATTGGTTAATTGTTATATACAGTAAAAATATTATTTGAAAAAATTACAAGTTGTTGACGTAATACTTTAATAAAAAGGCAAAGGTTTACTAACCTATTGTAAAACTTAAAGGTTTTTCTAAACATATTTTTCTTTGATTAGAACATTCGTAATGCCTGCACGCAAACAACATTTAATATTAATTTATCTTTTGTATTTTTTATTCTGTATACACAAACAGCGAAGGGAATAATATAATATA